CATGTCCCTCCACACACTGCAGGCTGCTCCACAAACGAGATGTTTTCCCCAAGGGCAGTGGAGGCAGGGTCCTTCTGGGACATGGCACTAATATTGCAAGACAGTTCCAGAGCAGGAAGCACCAGGATTTCATCAACAGCCAGAGGGATAGGCAGGATCAGTGGGGACAACCAGAGTCCCTTTGTGCTCTGGCCATTGTGTCTCATTGAGGAGCTGGCACAGCTCCATCCCTGTCTCCTTCCGCTTCTCCCTCTCCCTACACTGCGTTCAGGGAAGGGGACAAGGTCTCATCCTGCCCATGGCTGGGGTGGAGCAGCGGGAGGGAAGGGGACCCCAGCACCTTGCAGAAAAACCGCGTGCACATGCAGACCCGTGTCCTCAGGTGTCCCCAGCGCATTGTCCTCGGCTGTGTCCCCCGCAGTGGCCGGGCTCGTGGCTCTGGCCCAAGGCACCGGGCACCAGGGTGCTCTGCTGGGGCTGGCCTGGCTCCGGCATCGTGTGCGATCGGTGACGGCGTCTCCCCGAGCCTGGCTCCCCTCCAGGCACGGCCGGTCTGGCCAGGCAGGAGCTGGGGCCGTGCCCCTGGGGTGGTGGCACTGGGGAGCAGAGATGCTGTGAGACCCTGGGCAGCGCGGCAACCACCCCCTCCCCACTGGTGAGCACAGCTATGGGACACATCCTCTCATGCAGGTGGCCCTGGAGATGGTGTGACCCCCCTCCCCGGACACCACTGGGGAGGAAGACTTCTGGCTGCCCAGAGCCCTCCCAGCTTGCAAGGGGTAGGAGAGCATGAGGCCGGTACAGCCTGTGTCCCCTCCCCGGGGGTCCTACCTGTGGTCACCAGCTACGCAAGTGCTGTGCAATGTCCCCCCATCCTGTGTAGCTCTGCGTCATGGTGGCCACGAGGGGACTGTGTGAACAGACTTCAGGTCAGTCATTAGCAGCTGCAAAAGAAACAACCAACGCAGCAAGGGAGAGCAACACGGCACCATCCTCAGGCAGAGCCAAGCCAAGCTGGCAGGAGCCTGGCAGTTTGTCCCTTTCCCCTCGCAGAGCGGGGAGCTAGACTCACCACCAGGCACAGGGGGGCACCAGGAACCACCACATCAGAAACGGTGGCAATGCCCCAAACTGTCCCTGCCTGCTGCGGGAACCCCTGCACTGGGGGCAGGGACTGACTGCCACTGCCACTGCTGCCTCTGCCAGCTCTGCTCCTGTCTTGTGGTTAAGCTGGGTCACTGGGACCCTGTGGTTTCTCAGGCACCAGTTGTACTGGGGTGGCCAGCAGTCACAGCTGTGCTGTGGTGGGCACTACTCCACCCCCACAGAGATATTGGGACATGTGGCTGGTGACAGAAGCCAGCCCATGTCTGCAGCCAGCCACACTGCCTGCCCTGTTTGTGCTTCTGCCCTGCTCCTCTTCCCCTGCTCCTGCTCCTGCTCCTGCTCCTGCTCCTGCTCCTGCCCTGCCTGCCTGGAAAAGCCAGGACTGCAGCAGGTCCTGGGGGAGGTGGGCCGTGATGACTCTGCAGTTCAGCTGCGGATCTGCTCCTGCTTCCCGCGGTTTATTGTCACCACACGCCGCAGGCACTGCTGGCAGGACAGTCCCTCCCATGGGGACACCATGTCCAGGCGGCATTTGCAACCCAGCTGCAGGAATGAGCTCAGGAGATGCCATCGAGCATCTGGCAAATGGATCCCCTGCCTGGATCTGAACAGGAGGTGGGATCTGAGCGGGAGGCGCCTGTGGTGGGGCAGGCGGGACATGATGGCTGTGGGATGGCCTCTCTCACCCGGGAATGAAACACATCCCAGGAGACAGGGAGGGAAAACAATTTTGTGCAGGCACGGCTCAGCTAAACACTCATCTGGGGCACAGTGAGCAGTGATTGTCAGCCATGAGCTGGAGCTTCCTCTGCCACACAGAGTGGGTGGCACATACGGTGCCAGTGAGCACTTGGGTTAAACAGGGGCTAACCCCCCCACTATGGAGTGAGGAGGGAGGGACTGGAGCACAGGCTCCACGGCAGGCAGAGGCAGGGAGATAAGGCCACAGCAGGCACAGCATTGCCATGAACTGCCTGTGTCCAGAGATGATCTCTGGGATGTGGCATCTGGGCACCCCAGTCCCCCAGCTCCCAGAAGGGTGGCCAAATACCTTTGCCCTGGGCCCTGTCAGCACTGCCCGATCCTTGCTGCCATCCAGTAGAGCCCAGGCTCTGGCACATCCCAGGCTCCTGTGCTGCTGCAGCAGTGCCAGGCACTACCACCTTTGTCTGCAGCTCTGGGGCTGAGCAGCCTGGGAGAAAGGAGGGTTGAGGGTGTGAAAGGCTCCCTGCAAACCCAGAACGCCATAAAAACTGATTATTTCTGGGCTCCTCCTGAGTCCCCGGGCAGGACCTACTCTCAGACACAAAAGGCTGCGAGACAATGAGGGAGAGAAAATGGCTCCGCAAGAGGAGCATCTGGCAGGTTAACTCTGAAGGAGGGGCTGTGCTATGTCCCAGGAGTGTTGGCCCCAGCCTTGGCCCTTATCCCCACCCAGGATCACCAGCTTTAGGAGAAAATGGGGATTACAAGACAAAGCAGTAAGCTAGCACTTTGGCTACAATTGCTCCCAGGGGCATTGAAAATCAGGAAAGAATCCATTTACCTGGTGGGAGCCCTATTCTTGGTGAGGATTCTGAAAAAAAAAAAAAAACACAAACAAAAACAACAAACAAACAAACAAAAAACACACAAAAAAGCAAAACAAGACACACACCACAAACAAAACCAAAACCAAAACCAAACAAACAAACAAAAGTGGTGTAGCAGTTAATTCTGATTTGGGCCGGGGGCTGCAGGCTGTGTCCGGGGTGGGCCAGGCTGCCCGGTGCCACCTCCAGACCGGGATCACCCGGGATCGCCCGCCAGGCCGGGATGAGGCCGGGAACACGCTGCGGAATGCGCGGCTGCCCCTGCCCTAACAAAGGGGAGGGGGTCTGGGCTGCCCCGCCTGGCACCCCCGGGAAGGGGGGCTCCTGCCGGGGCGCGAGGCTCTCGTGGGATTATATATAACCAGGGAATAACATATGGGAGGGATGGGGTGTATTTTTTGGAGACGGTGCAGCGGTAGCAGCCCCGCCTGCCGGCTCCGCACCCCCCGAAGCGATGCCCACAGGACCCCCCGAGTCCCGGGGCAGCATCGACCCCCGTTCCCGCTCCGCGATAGAGGCGGCCCGCCGGCTCCCCCCGGCCCCAGACCCCACCGGTGCCCCACCTCCATCCGGAGGGAGCGGGGCGATGTCCGCGGAGCGTTACCTGCTCTCGGGGGCCGGACTGGGGCTGAGGGGCGCCGGTTCCGCTCGCTTCTGCCCGCCGCGCCGCTCCTTTGTGCTGGAGCTTTCCCAGAGCATCCCTGAGGAAGAGGCGGCCACGCAAACTCCTCCTCCCGCAGCCCCCGGCCCCCCCGGCCCTACCTACGGCGTAGGAGGATGCTGCAACTCGCATTAAATTTTAATGCTGGAAATGCGGCCGAGTCACCTTCCCCCCTCACCGCTCCCGCACCGCTCTCCGCTCCACACCGCTCCGGCATTGCTTCCAGCACTGCTCCCGCATCGCTCCCCGCACCCTTCCCGCACTTCTCTGCACTCATTCCGCACCTCCCCTGCACCGATCCCACCTCAGGAGACCCCGGGAACCCGTTTGACACGACAGCCGATAGAAAGGCCACTGTCATCCCTCCCTGCCAGGACACGGTCCCCCCTGGTGTCACGGGCTCCCCACAGCCCTTTTGGGGTGGTGTGGGCATCCCACAGACCTGGGGTGGCCCAAGGGACACGGGAGAAGGGTTGCTGGTCAGGGGCTGCTGCGGGCACATCCCTGGGGACGTGGTGGGCAGGATGTGGCTGGTCTCAGTAGGGGGAATGGCAAAGAGACCCAGACCAGCCTGGTGACACAGTCTTGCCCGAGGACAGCGCTCCCATCCAGAGGACAGCCCCACTCTCGGTCAGAGGGATGTGACAGCCCCTCCTCAGCGCTGTGCAGCTGCTGGGCTCCTGCATTGTTCTCCAAGTCCCCACCGGGTCCCTGGGGACCCCCGGTCCCGCCGCCAGCTGTCCACCGTGTCTGACTGTGTGCTGAACCCCCCACCCTCCTGGGGCTCTGGAGCTAGGCAGGGTCGGGGGGAAGGGGGGGGGGCCCAGGACAGGGATCCCCCCCATATGTGGCCATGGAGAGGCCAGGAAGTTCCATTCCTTGGGTCTCGCTGGCTGCCAGCCCTGAACGGTTTTGCCCTGGGGTGCAGGAGGGTTTCACTCAGCCCATCCCAAAACTTTTTGTTTCTTCTTCTATTTTGCCTTTTTTATTGTGATTCCAGTGGATAGAATCCCTCTCTGGGCAGCATTCCTCATTCCCTCCACTGGTGGCCCTGCTACTGCAAATGTCATGAATGGGACATTTTCATCACATCAAACCTTTTCTCCATAGCTCTTCTGAAATGAGGAATTTTTCCAGACCAGCCTTTTCCTGCCACATTTCCAGCTTTGGCTGCACACTGGGTAAAGGATGGGTGCTTGGGTGGGCGCAGGGGTGTACATGAATGTGGGGATAGGTGCACAGAGTGCACCTGCACCTTGCTGGGTCCTGCAGCTCCTTCCAGACCCTGGCAGGTGCTGGTGGAGCAGATGGGGTCTATGGGTTAGTGGGATGTGGGGGTTCTGCAGAGCCCCTGAGCCTGCAGCCGGGTTGGTGCAGGGCTTTGCCTGCCTGTGACAGGGACATATCCTGGTTGTATGGGCAGAAAAGATACCCCTCACCCCGTCTCTGCCCCTGCAGAGCCCCTCCTCTGCCCCCACACATGACATCACTCCCGACCACACACCCTCATGGTCCTCCCTCCCCAACTGCCAGCGCCGCCTTGGACAACTGAGCCTTTATTGAGCTTTGCCCCCACTGGACCACGGGACAGGCGGTGCCCAGGGCGTGTGGCCGGTGGTGCGGGGGCTCCGGCAGCACGGTCACTGCTGGACCCTGCGGATGGACTGGACCTGGCCCGTCTGCGCGTGGGAGCCCCACTCCCGCACGTGCTTGTACTCGCCCGCGGGGCTGTCGCTCTCCAGGAGGTACTGGAAGCCTCGGTACCCCGGGTACTGCGAGCAGACCCACCTGCGACAGAGCAGAGAGCGGCGGTGGCTCAGGGCTGGCAGCACCGTGGAGCTCCCGCGCTGCGGGTGCCGGCAGTGCCAGAGCATCCTCGGCCCCGCCGCGTAGCCTCGGTGCTGGGTCCTGGCAGGGTGCGAGCCCCCGGTACTCACGCTCCGGAGCGGACAAGGAAGGAGCCCACGGTGCTGCTGCCCCAGCCCAGGGCGGGCAGCGAGGGGCAGTCGTCGCTCATCTCTGCCCGCTTGCCCTGGAAGTTCTCCTGCTCGAAGAGCATCAGCCGGCTGCGCCCGTGGTCCTGCGTCCAAGAGGAGCACGGGGTTGGCACGGCCGCCCTGCCCGGCTCACCTGGCCTACCCCGTGGGAGAACCGGGGCGGGGACACTCACGGCGCAGGCGATGGGGCGGAAGGAACACATCCTCTCCACGTGGTAGGCGTTGCTGCCGCTCCACGCCTCCCAGCACGGGTAATCGCCGCGCTCCAGCACAAACTGCTGCCCCTGGAAGCCGCAGTGCTCGAAGCCTGCCCACCTACAGGGGTGGGAAGGGGTTGAGACCCTCGGGGTGACCACCGCCCCACTCACACCCAGGGCTGTGCCTGCTGCACACAACGGGTGTCCGGCGGAGGCGGCCCCATGGCTCAGGTGGCAAAAGGCACTGGAGGCCTCCATCGCCTGACCCCTCTCCATCCACAGCACTATGGGGTGGCAGTACCCCAAGACCCCCACTCACGCCCCACTCTCGATCCTGCAGGAGCGGACGGTGCTGAAGCCATGCTCTGGGATGCTGTAGCAGTCGGTGGTGAACTCCAGCTTCTTGCCCTGGAAAAAAGGCTCATCCCACACCACAATCTGGGGGGGGATGGAGGAGGGAGTCAGGAGGCTCCGGGGCTGCAGCCCCATGCCCAGGTGTTCAAAGGGTGCAGTGCTGGTCCTGCCCAGGCTCCCGTACCTTCCAGAGACCAGAGGATCTCTTGCAGCGGTGGGTCATGGTGGTTCTGCCAGGGCACAGGGGAACAGGACTGTTAAAGATGCCCTCTGCCCAGATGAAATGCCCTCAGGAGCCCACGCACATCCCTTCACCAGCAGCGTGAGGGGCAACAAGGGGGCTGCTCCCTGCTGGAGCAGAAGAGCATGGAGCTGGGGCTCTCCCTGCCCACCCAGGGCTGCTGCTGCCCGGGCTGTGCAGAGCAGTGGGCACCTGGCCCTGGCAGCCATCCTAGCACTGCCTGCCCATGCCCAGAGAGACTCCTCCTCCCACTGGCAGATCCCTGAGCCAAAGCACCCGTGCATGCAGCCAGTGCAGGCAGCGTAGTGCTGAGCTGGGAGTGCTGCGGAGGTGGCCATGTGCCCACACTGAGTATCAGCACCCTGCCACTGCCATGGCCAGCGATGACCCCTGATTACCCAATCTCCCAACCCCCGAGTCCCCCAATCCCCTGGCACTGCTTCATGTGCCAAGGTGAGGTCTAACCCCAGATCTTGGACGCTCCTCCACATGTTCCCGCAACTGTTTGCTCCCAGGCCCCAGCCATGGGGATGGGGCAGATGCCCTAGGCTCTGGCGCTTACCTGGGGTGAGGCACTCGTGCCCAGGGAGGTGACACGTCCTGCAGCCTCCGGCTGGGTTTTTATAGCCTCCAGATAGAGACAGAGCCCAGGGGAGCATTACTGAAACCCCTAACTCAGCACATGGCGGGGAGGAGGGACCGGGCAGAACAAAGGCAACGTGTCAGAGACGCTGATGAGCCGGGACATTGAGCGGGCCCACCAGGGCTCTGACCCCCGGCCCCACAGCTCCAGAGACAGGGCATTGCCCCCAGGGTCTGCCAACATTTCTGCTGCATGCTCTCCCCAGCGAGGGGCTGAGCTGGGGTTGTGTCCCCACTCTGGCAGTGCTCCTCCTGCCTGTGGGCAGCACTGCCTGTACTGGGGGCACGGGGATGTTTCCTCACCCATTTCTGGGAAGTGGGAGGAAGGACACATCTGCCCTTGCTCTCCCTGGGAGGGCAGAGCAGCTCTCCCTGAAATCCAGGGTAGTTCATTGCAGGTTGGGCACACAGCAGCCAGGGACACTGTAACAAGCAGGGACCAAGGGTATGGGAAGTGAGGGATGGGTTTGCAAAAGCATGCGAGGGACTGGAGGTGTAGGTCATGATTTGAGGAGCACTGCAGCAGCCTCCTGCTTCTGTGCCCTGAAAAGAGTCTGCTGTGCCCACATTTTGGGAACACAAATACCTTTCAGATTTACTCACAGTGACCCCCACACCTCACAAATCATCCTGGGGTGGTGCCAGGAGTGTGCCAGGGCTCCGAGGGCTGGGCAGAGGCACCCACCCAGCCTGTGCCTCGGAGCAGGCAGCAGTCAATGGACGCTGTTAGGACAAATGAGAAAACTCATATTCCCAGAGAGTCCTATGTTTTGGGACAGCATTTGCCAGGAAACTTCCAGGGGGCTGAGCTGGAGCATCATTCGTGCAGCTGAAGCCCTGCCAGCCCCAGGCACTGGGGGGAAGGCAGAGCAGGCAAACACAGCACCCTGGGAACTCAATGCAACCAGCCACCCCTGGCTGCATCAGGGCTTCACAAGCTGTCCCAACACCTGCAACCCCAGCAAAAGCCTTTTGACACAGTTTGTCCCCAACCTCTCGCTGTGGCCTGAGCTAAACTCAGCTTGTGCTGGCCACTAGCACAGTGACCACCACGTGCTTGCTCTCCACGCTGTGTCCTGGCACTGAGCTGGGCTGTGCTGGGTGTACCCACAGTGCCACTCATCACTGGGCAGGGCTGCAGCAGCGGGAGCTCCGTGGGCAGTGGAACTCACCAGGGCAGAACAAACCTCTGTGGCCATGCCTGTGCCCTCTGCAGCCTTACTGTGCCAACTCTGGGCATCTGCTGCTTGGGCAGCCCTTTGCTGTTGGAGCTGCATATCCCACAGGCACCCCTGTGCCAGCGTGGGATGGAGCAGAGAGGGGTTTTCCAAAGCACCTGCAGCCAGCGGCAGGGATGGTCCATGGGGAGGGCAGAGATTTTGTGTCTGGGACGCTCAAGAACCACGGAGGACAGATCCCTGCTGTCAGCCCTGCCACAGCACCAGCTCTGGAAAACCATGGAGCTGCTGTGTGCTCGGAGTAACATGGAGCAGCCATCAGGAGCAGAGATCAGTCCCTCTGAAATGTTTTTCCAATGCCCAATTTCAAAGGTGCTGTGAGTTGGAAGAGGAAGCGGAGTCAGGAGCAGGGGGTGGGTGAGACCTGCTGATTAATGCCCAGGATGCACAGGGGAGGCAGCACAGGTAGAACATCTACCCTGGCTTCCAGAGGAAGGGAGGGCAGGTTAAATTAGAAATTTGGGCAAAAACCGTGGCGACAATTGAAATCATGAATCATAAACCACTGCCCTGTGTCAAGGTGAGAACCAGACTGGGGCAGTGCCCAGGGTAACAGGGCAGCAGCCCCCACAGCCAGCAACATCACGGGCACAGCAGGGCCGCTGAAAAACCTCGGGAAAAGAGGGGATCAATAATTTCTTTTTGTTAGGGATTTTGAGTAATAGCCCAGAGGGCACAACTGGATCCCACTGCTGATAGCTGACATATGAGGGGAACAAAAGATGAGGGCAAAACACGGGGCTCTGAGCTCTCTGACCGCACATCCTCGGGTGAGGTACTGCCCAGGAGCTGTGGTGCTGGATGCTGCGGGAAGCTGGGGGTGTTGCAAAGGAGTGTGCAGGTGTTTACAGGATGAACAGGATCACAGCAGGCAAACAGGGAGACAATCTGATCAGAGGCTCAGAGGGACTCAGAGGAAGGTCCCCCCAGGGTGCCATGGGGTGCAGGAGAAGTGGCACCTCAGGCTGAGATGCCACAGAGCCCAGTGCTGGCATGTCCCCATCCAGCCACCCTGCAACCCTTCTCCTGTGCCAGTCAGACAGAGCTGATGCCCCAAAACACTGTGTGGGGTTTGGCACCATAGATGTGGTGGTGGCAGATCTAGGGGTGGTAACATGGTGAGCACAGCATGGGGGAAATGGGCTAAAAAGCAAGAGAACAGCCCTGCCAGTGAGCAGTGACATTCCCAGCAGAGAACAAACACCATTTTCAGGCACTCAGATGGTTCAGAAAGTGTCAGCTTCAATTACACATCGTTGAGAAAAGAATCAGCTCCTGAAGCATTTCAGGACACTCAGGTCTCACTTTCTGGCACCTTCAGGGCAGTGCTGCAGGCGCTTATGGGCACAGAGTGATGTTCAGAGCAAGAGGTTCAGTGTTTGGAGGGGTGAAACCGGCACAGCGTGGCTGCAGGCTGGGCACTGTGGGGTTGCGGGCAGCGGTAGCACTGGAGCGGGGTGTCCGTGCGAGCCCGGTGCCAGGGGCGGTGGGCAGGGGAGGGCCGTGTGCCTGTGCCGGTGCCGGTGCCGACGCTGGCCTGGCCGTGCCAGGGCTATATATGCCCTGCCGGGGCGGCCGCACACGGGGTAGCGGGTGCCGCCGCTCGCTGCAAAGTGGCACGGTCAGGTCTTCTGTTGTGCCGCGGGCACAAAGGAAAGTGCTGGGTTCAGCGGCTGGGCACGGGGCCGGGGAGAGGCTTCCAGCTCGCCCAGCGCTTTGCAGGATGTGATGACTGGGCGGCCGCGCAGACACTGATGAGCTGGCAGTTCCTTTGTGCGCCCGCCCGGGGGTCTGCCCTTGCCAGGCTATAAAGTGGGGGCCTCGCGGCGCCCCGAAACACAAGCCCGCTCACTCCAACAAGAAGCAGCAGCTGCCCAGGTAAGAGGACAAAGTCCCCGGGCACCGGGCTGCAGCCGGACCCGAGGTGGGGAGAGGGAAATGCAGGGTCTAAGCCATGGCCACCGCTGTGGTTATCGTGTCTGGGAGCACCTCGGTGCTCAGCACCCCACTGCCCTCCTCTCCGTAGGGAGCTGCTGGTGACACTCACCTGCAGGGCCACAGCAGGGTGCCTGCTGCAGGGCCTCAGCAGACCAGGGCTGTCCCTCTTCCCACCCCTCACATGCTGCCCCCATGCTCCCTGGGCTCCCAGGCGCACCCCGTGAGAGATGGCCCCAGTGCCCGGCACAGTGTCAGGCCCCAGCCTGGCCAGAGAGAGTAGGGATTGCCTGGACACCAGAGCTGGGGGCTACCCTGGGCACCCCCACAGTGGTAGGACTTCTGCAGTGGTAGAGATCTCCTGACCACAGAAGGAGATTGTGGACACCAAGACCTCCTGCAATCCTCCTGGTGAAGGGGAATCCCCTGCCTATACCTGCTGGAGAACCTTCCAGTGGCTTCTCTCCTGGCCCTGGCTACCCACCCTATTGAGAGCCCCCATCCCAATGTGACCATTCCTGGGGCGGGTGGTGGGTGCCCATATCCATGCCTCCCTCTAACCTGCTGGTGCCCTGTCACAGACTTGAGCCCACCACCGCGATGTCTGAGACCACGAAACCCGCTGCTCCCGGACAGGCTGCAGAGGAGAAGGAGAAGGCAGTTCCTGCGCCAACTCCATCCCTCGATCCTGCTCCTGTCGCAAACAGCAAGGGCGAGGAGCCCTCCCCGGAAGCCTTCAGGGTAAGCCCTGCAGCTCCCCACATGCAGGACACGCTCCAGGGCTGCAGCCAGTGGCAGCATCTCTGGGGCAGGAGGAGATCATCCCAGAGGGAAGGACCCTCCCTCCCAGAGCAGGACGTGAGTGCAGGTGCCACCATCGCTCCCTGCTCTGTGCCTCTGGCACGGGCACAGGATTTGGGCAGCTGCTGCAGGAGGGACACTCTGGGAGTCCCTTGGTCGGGACAGCTCATCAATGACCATTGGGGACCACAGGCTTTGGAAATGCTCTTCCCTGGGTTGTGGCATCAGGACTGGCTGCTGCCAGCTGCTCCCTTTGGTCACCCTCCGCATGCAGGGATCCTGTGGTGCTCAGGGAAGGTGGAGGGGACACTGTGGGTGACAGGGCCAGCACTGAAATGCTGCAGCAATTCTAGGGCAGAATGCCACCGAGGCGCTGCTGCAGGGCTGGGGATGAGGGGTGAGTGATGCAAGGACTGTGGTGACAATGTGCATATGCCAGGTAGCGAAGGCCATGGCATGGATGCAGCTCCGGAAGAAGCAGCTCCTTCCCAGCAACCTGGGCACTGGCACAGGGAGATGTGGCTTTGCAGCATCAAAAATGGGAGCTGGATGAGGCCATCTTGGATCAGGGACAGCTGTCAGGAGGGACCTTCCCATGATCAGTCCTTGCTGGGACAGAGCTGCTCAAATACCGAGCCCAGCTTGGCTTGCCTGGGCACCAGAGCTGAAAAGCTGCAGGAAGGCTCGGAGAGACGAGGAGGACACTTGGGGCAGTGGGCTCGTGCATGCAGAGTCATGCAGGGACACACAGCACCACCCTACTCTCCCTGACCATGGCTGTCCCCATCTGACCCCTTCCTTGTACCCCCAGATCGTCGTCTTTGACCAGGAGAACTTCCAGGGCAGGCAGATGGAGTTCACCGCTGAGTGCCTGAACCTGAGCGACCGCGGCTTCGACCGGGTGCGCAGCGTCATTGTCATCTCTGGACCGTAAGTGACCCCAGCCAAAGAGGGACCTATGTCCCTGGGGATGTCCCAAGGGGGCAGGGACACAGCCCTGGGGGCAGCCCTGGGCACAGTGGGATGTGCAGGGTCATTTCCCTGCAGCAGGGGCAGAGCGATGGAGGGCCAGCAGAGGAGCAGGGTGGGGGTCCCAGATCTCCTTCAAGGGGGCAAGAGGGCCAGGGTGGGTGGGAAGGATGCCAGGGCCACCTACAAAGCAAAGGGCACCAGAGACAAAGCCAAATGACGAAGAAAGGTGTCCACCTGGACACCTGGAGCTGTCCATGGAATGCAAGGGACCTGCAGATCTTACAGAAGCCAAGGTGAAATGAGGTGGGAGCCTTGGACTGGGCTAGTGGTCTGGGCCATCATGGAGACAAGGCTGGAGTGGGCAAGGACAGGCAGGGATAGGCAGGCAGCCTCACATGCCTGCCTGCACCCAGGCAGCTGAGTAGCGACAACAGGGCTGGGCAGGTCTGAAAGCTGTGGGAACGGTTGACACAGGCATGGACATAAACGATCCCCAAAGCAGATAACTGAACAGACAGATGATCTCCATGTTGAAAGAGCATCCTTCTGTACTGTGCCTGGCTGGAAATGGTGTGCTGGGAAGGCAGGGGGGCTAGAAGGATTTTGGACAGGATGCACAGGACACAGCATGCCCTGACACCGGCCCTGAGGGATCAGGACAGTGACCTGTGGTCACCTTGAATGACACCATGTAGCACCAATGAAGTTTTTATTAGGAACCCAGAATATTCAACTCTTCCTGAAATGAAAGGGGGACAGAGAAGCCTGGAAGGAGCTCAGGTGTGCCATCTGAGAAGCTGCACTAGATATAAAGGGTTAAACTGGAGGAACAGAGAACTTAGGTATCATTGGGGCCCGTGGAGGCTTCTTGAGAGTCACTTGTGAGATTCTGTGCCTAAAAATGTGCTTAGGGAAAGACAAAAGCAAAATCAACCAAGCTGAGCCTTAGAAGTCAGTGTGAGGACATGCTGCTTGGGGTACCTCAATGTCTCCTGCCTGCGGAAAACACCTGTTGGCATTTGCCCTGTTTTGCAGGGAAATGGGAAGCAGCAAATATGGATCTGTTGTGGTGCTGGGGGCTTCTGAAGCCCCAGGCCCATGACATTCACAGCACTGCAGCACCTCGTGGTACTGCTGAAGAGGTGACATTGCAGCTGAGCAAGCCCTGTGCCCCAGCAGTGGGCCGGGTGCCAGCGCTGGCTGACGCTGGTGCAGTGAGGCGTGAGAGCGTGCCAGGATTAGACAGCCCGGGCAGCCCAGGCCTGGGGGTGCGGGAGGGAAAACAGAGTCCTGAGATGACTCTGTGGTGTGCAGCTGCCTGGGGGTCCCACTGCTCCCCAGCTGAGGAAGGGGTGCAGCTGCAGGTTTGGACACACACACCACTGAGCTTCCAGCCGGGAGCCCACACCTCTGCTTCACATCGGCACCGGCTCTGCACAGACCACAGTGCGTGGGCTGGGAGAAAGGTGGGAGCAGGGTGGTGGGGCTACTCCTGGCACCCACAGCCTTTTTGGGTGCTGGAGTCCCCTCCGGCATCCCACAGGCTGGTGGAGCTGGAGGGGAGCTGCAGGGTGGCATCTGACCTGCCGTTTGCCCACTCCTCTCCCCAGCTGGGTGGCCTACGAGCAGGCCAACATGCGTGGGGAGATGTTCATCCTGGAGAAGGGAGAGTACCCTCGCTGGGACACCTGGTCCAGCAGCTACCGGAGCGACTGCTTCATGTCCATGCGTCCCATCAAAATGGTGAGTCCTTGGGAGCAGGAAGCACCTGCTGGGGTCTGCCCAGGGCTGGACTGTGCCGCTTGGTGCCTTGCTGCAGCAGCTCCAGGGCTTCAGCCATGCGAGCTGGCACCTTCCCTCTGTCTTCCCCAGGAGGCTGAGGACCACAAAATCTCCCTCTACGAGTCTGCTGACTTCAAGGGCAACAAGATGGAAATCCAGGAGGATGATGTGCCCAGCCTCTGGGCTTATGGTTTCTGCGACCGTGTGGGCAGCGTGCAGGTGCCCAGTGGAACGTAAGCCAAGCTGCAGTGGCAGCTGCCTTGTACCAGGTTTCCTGTCCTCCCTTGTGCCCCGACCCACTGCCACTGCTCTGAGCACCCACATGGGGCTCTCAGGCAGCCAGAAAGCACCACGTGGCTGTATCTGGTGGTGTGGCCCACCACCCAGGGTTGTGCCCAGTGCAAGGAGGTGGGGGCCTCTGCTGGCTCCTTGAGCATGTGCTGGCTGCAGCACTGCTGCCTGTAACAGCCAAGCCCGCTTAGGTCACCTGTGTTTGTTTTCCCTGCAGCTGGGTCGGGTACCAGTACCCTGGCTACAGAGGATACCAGTACCTCTTTGAGACCGGAGACTTCCGACACTGGAACGAGTGGTCTGCCTTCCAGCCCCAGATCCAGTCCATCCGCCGCATCCGGGACATGCAGTGGGACCAGAAGGGCACCTTTGTCACCCCCGACGCGCCCTCTGACTGAGCGTGCCGCCTGCTAGCTACGAGTCCCGGGCCCCGTGGGGCACCCCCGCCTCCCCTCGTGCTCGCCTGCCCAGCACTTTCCTTGTACATTGCACATTCCCTGGATGTACTCTACCTTGTGAGGCAAATTAAAAAAAACAGAAGACTAGAGCTGCTCGGGGGTCGGTGGTGCATGAGCGCGGCCGCGGGACACACTGCCTTCGGCCCATGCCAGTCCTGTGCTGGAGCTGGGTGGGACACGGTCTAGGGTGGTTTTCCCAAGGGAATTGCTCCCCACACTGGGGCTGGGACAGGGGAGACTCTCCATGTGGAGGAAAGGAGGCGTTCGGGAAAGGGCAGGAGGCTCCTCAACCGGACCCCACCAGCTCCCGTGGGGATCGTCTCGGCTGGGGGGACTCAGGGCACTTCCAGAACGGTCGGACCATGGAGAGCTCTGGGCTCCGTCCGTGCCTGCCGGACGGGGGGCTGCGGGCCCGCCGGTGCGATCCACCTGGGCACTAATTAACAGCCGTATCTGCAGTCAATCAAAGACCAACTCACTCTCAATGAGTTTTTATTCCCCTCGGACGCTGTCCCTCCGCACCGGGCGCTTCCTCGGCCTCATTCCCCTTTTCCCATCCCGTCCGGGCACCTCGGGTGGCGTTTTCCTGCGCTCCCACGCCGCTCATTAGCGACGGCGGTGATTAATTACAGCGATAGCAGTGACGGCAGCGCTGGCACAGGCAGCAGCACCGGGGCCGGGGGTGACGGCGCAGCTGCGGACAGCGCGGTCCGAGGCGCTCCCGGGCCCGGGACCCCCGGGACAACTGAGGGGCCAGGGCCGTTACCGGCACCGGTGCGGGACCGGGCCCGCGCGCCTGCGTGCCGCCCGCGTGCCCCGGGCACGCGCGCACAGACACACACGCGCGCACCCGCCCGCGCGCTCCCGGTGCCGCCCGGTGCCCGGGGGCGCGCGGCGCACGCGCGGTGCGGCGCGCGGGGATCCCGGCCCCTCGTGCGCGTGACGTCGCCGCGTCTCGCGCCGCTCCGGGCCGGCGGCGGCCCCGGTGAGTCGGGGTGGGGGGGGCACAGGGGGGGCACCGGGGAGCGGAGGATCGGCCCCGCCCGGGCACCCTGTGTGTCACCCCGGCCGGCAGGTGACAGCGGCGGGGCTGCGCGGCGGGCGGTGCGCGGCACCCGGCACCGGCGGGAGGTGCGGGCTTCGCGGGCAGGGCTCGGGGCTCGGTGGGTGGCGGAGCGGCGGGGCACGCTCGGTGCGCAGTGCGGGGCGTACGCGGGTGCACAGAGCCGTGCTCGGTGCTCCGTACTGGGTGCTCAGAACGGTGCAGGGTGCCCCGTGCAGGATGCTCGGTGCTGGGTACGCGGAGCGGAGCTCGATGCTCCGAGCAGTGCAGGGTGCTCAGTGCGGGATGCTCAGAGTGGTGCGGGGTGTTCGGTGCTGAGTTCACGGACGGGTGCTCGGTGCTGGGTACACAGAGGAGTGCCCGGTGCAGGGTGTTCCATGCTGGGTTCACAGGGTGGTGCTGGGTGCTGGGAGCAGGATGCTCAGTGCTGGGTTCACAGGGTGGTGCTGGGTGCAGGGTACGCTCTGTGCAGTGCAGGATATGCTGAGGGTGCTGCAGTGTTCTCGGTGCACGGTGCAGATATGTGGCAGGTGGCACAGGATGCTCAGCACAGGGTGCTCCTTGTGCCTTTCTCCCCTCATTCCTGCTATTGGGCACCCACTCCCCATGCCCCTGCTCCCCTGGCACCCCTCTGGCAGCCCAGCACCAGGCTATGCCCCACATAACCCAAGCATCACTGTACAGGAGGGCACCCACAGGCAGTGACTGTCTGTCCATCCAGGTGTCCAGAGATGAACTGGGGTCAGCACTGCCGTCCCCTGCCAGGGTGAGTGTGGTGGCCTGTACTGCATTCACCTGGACAGGTGAGTGTCGAGGGGAACCTGCACCTTCGGGTCTTGGTTAGCATCAACCTCTGCTGCTGGCACGGGAGGTGTTTGCAGTGCTGAGGCCAGGGTGGCTGTGGGGTGCAGATCCGTTGGCAAAAGGGTTGCAGGTGGGTGCCCGAGCGGCTGCGTTGGCACCTTGCAGCCCACCCAAAACACTGACATTGTCCTTGGCTGCGTCCTTGGCAGGGATGTGACATCCACGCTGTGTCCATAGCAAGCTCAAGTTCCTCGGGACTCATGGCTGGAGTTACCATCCCAACACTGTTGACAGTGTGTCCCAGGGTGGGCAGCATGAGCTGGGCCAATGTCCTCCACGGGCAGGGGGTGGTTTGCATCACACAGACCTTTGCTCTGTCCTTTGCTGTGTTTGTTTGCACTCTCAGGCTGTGTCCAAAAAACATCTCACAACTAGAAACCCCTTAACTTTCCTCCCTTTGCCAGTCAGAGCCACCCTGCCAGCTGCATGAGCGCACTGTGGGGTGGCGAGTCCCTGCTCGGCACAGCGGTGCTGCTCCCTCCTGCTTGGGCACTGAGCACGGGTGAGCGCAGATCTCAGAATGATTGGTGCTAACAGGTTTCCAAATTTGCCGTTGCTTTTCTGGGAGCGGTGCAGCGTGCTCGTGGGGAGCTGTCAAGTGCCAACGCAGGTTCCTGCGAGCGGGGTTTGCCATCCTGTGCCTGGTGGCAGCTGGTGCTGCGTGAGGCGCGGCAGGAGCAGCCGTGCTGTGGTTCCCACAGGGAGCTGAGGGTCTGTGGGGGGCTCACACAGTGGGGGGCAGCAGCTGAGCTGGGGACCATGTGGGTCCTTCCCAGCATTGCTCTGCATTGGGGGGCATCACTGTGGGGGATAAGTGCAAGTTGTGCCCTCCATGCTGGTGAGATGTGCCAGGCCAGGGGGTGGGAGCTGCCATGGGGTCTCCGCAGGACAGAGATGGACTCACCAGGACAGGCAGGCTCAGGCCACTGCCATCCTCTGCCTGTAGGTTTTACAAACTGTATTAGTAATTTCTGTCACTATTTTAAGGAGATTTTTCCAGAGGCAGTTTGCATTACGGATACGCTGAGCCTTCAGGGATGTGTGGGATGGCAGGAGCGCTGTTAAAATGCAGGGACTGTCAAGAAGATTTTTGGAGAGAGAAAACAAACCCCAGCAGGTGGTTTTATTTGGCACCCTACAGATGTGCCTTCTGATGAATTTGTGATGCCTTGAGGAACCTCAGCCTCGTGCCTCGGCCAGGCCTGTTCCCCTTTGGAGTCTGCAGGCAGTGAGCGTGCGGAACACGGGAGAAGCTTGCCATGGTGTTGTCAGCCTGCTTTGGTTCACAACGTTGTTCAAACCTCTAGTTCTGCGGTTCTAAACCCCTGTCTGCCTCCAGTTCTGCAGCAATTCTCTCAAAGAAATCCTGTCTCAAGGCGAACAATGCTTTTTTTCCCTCTTTTCGTCTCCAGTCCGTCCTGTGCTGGCCTCACGGTGCAGGCAGGAGGGTGTGCTGGGGCTGGCCCTGCTGAGGAGCCTTTTGTCCCCTCACAGGGACAGCAAACAAGAACAGCAGCAGGGGATTGCTCAACCCGCAGTGCTCGGAAGTGAAGCAAGTGGCTGGTTCCCATCGCGCATTCCCAGGCCAGTGACCCCAAACTGAGACCGGGGACTCCACAGGTGGTTGCAGCATCCAGATGCTTCTCCATGGACAAGTGGCCGTGGGTTTTCTAGCTCCGGAGCCGCTGCAGCCCGCAGGCTGCTCTGGTGGGGCAGGGGAAGCAGCCGGGGTTTTTCCCGTGCTCCTGTTCCTGCTCGGTGCTGGGATGGATCCTGCGGTGCGAGCGGCTGTTCCTGGCAGTGGCTGAGCTGCAAGGGGGGTGGGAGAGCAGCCGGCACCCCTGGCAGCTGTGCTCACAGCTGGCTGCGGGCCAGCGGGGCCAGGTGGCATCCAAGGGAAGGGCACTGAGCAGGGGAAGGGCAGCGAGCACAAGGCCTTGGTGGTCCAGCATTTGCAGATGCAAGTGGCAGCAGAGGACCAGGGCTCGCAGCTGGGCTCCTGCAGACAGGAAGGCACTCGGATGTGCCGTGCAGGGTGGTTTGGCTGACGGTCAGCAGCCACGCAGTCTCGGAAGGACCCGGTTCTGTTTCTTCCTTCCATGGTTTCACAAGGGCTTCTCCCATGCTGGGGCTTGGTGAGGTTCATTTCCTGTCCTTGCTGGGGCTATGCCAGCATGTGGGCTTGGGGTGCTGGTGCTTCCCAAAGTTTCTGGCTTTGTGGAAATGCCAAATGCTTGCCCTTATGGCATCCATTGTGCCAGGGCCATCTAGGCCACAGTGGAGATCCTGAGGCTGGTCCATGCCCAGGGTTCCTGAGGCCTTGAGCTGCAGGAAATGGGACAAGGATGAGCAGAGGGGCTGACACTGATGAGCTGCAGCAGTGTCCTGTCTCCCTTCACTGCCTGTGGTGAGCAGCGCCCGTCTGTCCACCCTGCCCTCCCCTCAGGCAGTGCTTCCAGTCCTGGGGCTGCTGCTGCTGCTGCTGCATGGGGAAATAAAACACTTTGATTTTGTTTCTTAAGCAAATTTGAGGTTTTGGGGTTTCTCTTGCAGAAACAACTTTTTATTTGCAAATCCTGATCCTTGTGTGTGCAAGAATAGAGCTTGTTGAGACTTAGGGTTTGGCCTGTGGATTAGGAAAATATTTTTTGAAGATACTTGCTGTTTTTTCTAGTAGTTCCTCTGACTTCTCTTTCTCCCTATTGTATAGCGGGCTCTGACCACCCACATTCCCACAGGGAATCTTTGTGCAGTTTTGAGAGGGAAGAGTTGTGTTTGCATTGGGCATGGTGAGTGAACATGGGGCTGCAACCTCCAGTTCCCTTTGCCCTGTGCCTCTCTCCTTTGGGTATCCCCGGGTCATACCCTGGGCTTGGGGTGGGAGTTGGAGGGACCTGGTCAGAGGCATGAGGAGGGCTCATAGAATCATCACAGAGTTATGGAATGGTTTGGGTTGGAAGCGACCTTGAAGATCTTCTAGTTCCAACCCTCTGCCATGGCCAGGGACACCTTCCACTAGACCAGGTTGCTCAGAGCTCCATCCACCCTAGCCTTGAACACTTCCAGGGCTGGGGCATCCACAACTTCTGTGGGCAAGAGGAACAGGAGGACAACTCCGTGTCTCCCAAGAGCACCCTCATCCAGCTCTGAGCGGGGAGCAGGACAGTGGGCTCCTGGTCAGGGCACAAGGGGAGCCAGAGAGGGAGCGTCTCTTTGTCACAGTCCCAGCAGTGACACCTGCGCTGGCTTTGCCTTTGTCCCCCTGAGGCAGCAACTGCAGAGTAATTAAGGAAAGGTGAAGCTCTGTGGGTTGATTAAAAGTCAGGAGCTCCCTCCAAAGCACAGAGCTCGTGTCCTCTTTCAGCACAGGCACTTCCGATGTGGAGACGGAGCTGATTGGTGGCTCCATCGTCGCTGGGGGGTCACAGACACCCCTCCTGCTCCAGTCCCCATCCCTCACAGCCCGTGACATGGAGTAGGGGGCTCTCCCTTCCCCTCCTGTTCCCCCTCACTCGGCTTGGTCCTTCCAGCAGCAGCTGGAACCTCCCCATCCTGCTCCTTGAGGCAAGGGGGGACGTGTCGAGCCCCTTCTCCCCAGCTTTACTGGAGCCTTGCTGGGGCATGGGGGGCATGGAGCCAGGTGCTGGGTAGTGCCTCCATGCCCAACTCCTGCCAGCAGCTTTCACTTTGGGCGTTTCATAATTAATCAGCCACTTTGGGCCGAGGGCCGCTGCCGTACGGGGTTGGCAGGGTGGATGCTGCGGTTTCCATCGCCGGACCATAAAATGCCATCACTGTGCTTGGAACGAGGGGCAGGCAGAGGAAAGATCCTGTAAATTGGTGGGATTTTTATTGTTTGAGGAACACTGTAGCATTGAGCAGGATAATAAAATGTTTTGCTAATCATAACAGCCTTGAGGCGATAAACCAGCCGTCCGTTTGTGCTGTGAAATGTCTGTGGATTCTTTGCTGATGTGATTTAGAGCCTGTTGGAGCCAGCTGGTGCACTGTGCTGTATCCCTGGCCAGGCTCTCCGGGATAGAGTGCTGGGGTGCTCAGCTGGAATGCGTGGTGTGGCTCAGGGCTCTCACCTCTCAGGCTTTTTCAGGTGAGAAAGCTGGTATTTGAAACTGGCACACACTGCCTTAATCCTCGGAGCATCAGATTCTGCTGGTTTATTTTTCCAGGTATCCAGCAGTGAGAATAAATTCCCCCTTCTCCCCCGAGCCAGTTGGGTGCTAAGATGCAGATGGAGCACCCTCCATGTGATTTGGGTGCTTGAACACTTATTCTTGCAGACTTTTGACTGTTTCTTACATTTTTATTTGGGATTTCTTTGAATTTTACAGTTTTTGTTGGCGGTGCAAATGCAAACCACAGTGCTGTTAGTGCTATTTGGGGATTTTCCAAGGGACACAGAACACTGAAGTGCTCTAAGCGCCCAGGGTTTTTACTGGGATTGGCCTCTGGTTCTGGTGGATGTTCTGGGTTCATGACCTGCAGTGCAGTTTCAGCTTTAGTCACCAAACCTGTCCTGCTGTTGGTGGTGCTACTTTCTCTACGTGGTGGCTGAAAGCAGCTCCTTTTGTTGTTGTGGGGGTGTTTTTTGAGTGCTGCAGCTTAATTTTATGCACATCAAAGTGGCTCTGAGGCTCAAGCTGTGGCTCACCTGCAGCAGAGGTGGGTGCAGAGCCCCTGTTCCACTGCTGCAGCATCAAGCGGGGTGGGCAGGTTGGCCCCTGCTTGCTCCAGATGGCTGTCCCGTGGGATCAGTCCAGATCCATGCCGTGCTAGGGTGGATGAGCACGAGTTGGAGGTTGTGCAATGGGGCTGACGCTGCACTCAGCGACCGCAGCCGCCCCCGCGGTGCCTCCGTGGGCGCCCGGCAGGGATCAGGGCTGCCCCGAGCTCGCTGTGTCCTGGGGCTGCTCGTCAGTGTGGGTGAATGCTTTGAAATTTGTTGGTCAGCTTTTGTTTGGGCTGCTTGGAAACTGAGATGGAGAGAGACCCCGTGTGTCTCTGTGCCAGCAGTGCCAGCAGCCTGTCCCTTCCTGCTCCACGCCCTCAGCCCCCAACAGCTCTTCCCAGCTTTTGCCTCCTGGAGGCTTGACCGCTCTGCTGTTTACTGCTGTCTACTCCAAGCAGGATGGGAGTATCCCTGTTCTGCTAAGGGAGGTACTTGGGAGTCATCAGGTGTTTTGGAAAGCGCCTTAGGAGTTGCCACTGGGAAGGACCAGGAGGAAAAGGGCTGCTGTCACAGCCACCACTGGCAGTGATAGGGTTGGGCTTGAGCTCAGGTTGTCATGAAGCAGTTGTCCTCAGGCAAGCTGTGTTTATTTTTGTAAATGAACTGTAGACTATTAATTAAGTAATTAAATATTGCTGATTTGTAAAGATGCGAGTTGGATATATTAGGACATTTGTTGCTGACCACAGTTCCTGCTGCTGTTCCGCCACAAAGGCGTCTGCAGTTCCTCATCCTTTTATTAAGCACCAACAAATTGAGCTCAAATTTTCCAGGCCACACCTACGTCTTTCTGGGGAAGCTGCAGTTAGTGACAATCATTTCTGGGAATGTTTTAAAGAAAAATGCAGCTTCTGATCATATGGAGCTTCTCATAGACACTGTTTCTGGTGTTGTTTGTAACACTTCAAAAAATGGGGCCGATGTTGTTTCATCACTGCAGGTGGTGCTGGGCCCAGCGATGCTGGCGCACGGGGCTGTTCCCGGCTCTGCCAGTGGTTTACCCGTTCCCACCGCAGGTGCTGGGTCATGGGGCTGTGGTTGCTCAGAGCTTGGTGCCGGAGCCCGGCCGGCAGTGACACCCTGTAAAGTGTCAGGAAGGAAGTCAGCAAGCGAGTGCGTGTCCGTGTGCCTGTGTGTGCCTGTGCACGGGCAGGAGCTGGAGCTGTTTCCGGAGCGGGGTGGCTCAGGGCGGGCTGTTAAACTGCTGCTGTTCCCTGATCCAGAGCATTTGTGGCACTGCAGAAGTGCATCCAGGGATACAGCTGCTGCTCTGTGGGCATGCAGCCTTGTCCAGAGCTGAAATCCCACGGTCCGTGGAGGCCAGGACAGAGTTGAGCAGGAAGCCTGGCAGGGAAGAAGGGCAGCATGTGCACTGCGGATGAGGCCTCCCAAAGTTCATGCTGGGTGGAGTTTCCCTCTGGTTTCTCTTTAGTGTTGAAGCAGAGGGGCCAGTGACACTCGATGGCAGGAGAGGAGGAGACTTGGGTGTCTGGAATAGCAATTAGTGTCTGTCCTTGAAATGTTCTCAAAAACATCCTCCAAGGCTGGGACACTGTCATGTAGCTGACTGGGAAGGGCCAAGTGGCAGCAGCCCTATGACAAGCCAGCGTCCTGTGCACCCTCTGTGATCCTTGAAGCAGAGTGACACTCCCCCCGTCCCGCCGTGTCCCGGCCCCTCGGGGTGCTCTGCTGCAGCGCAGTGTCCTGGGCTGTCCCTGGGATGTGCCTGCGGGATGGCTCCAGCCAAGGCTCTGCAGGCAGCTGACAGGCTCCCCAGGGAGAGGGCAATCCCTTTGGTGCAGGTGCCATGTCCTTGTGGGAAACCTGGTGTCCAGGGGTTTGGTTCCCTACCTGGAGGGATTCATGTGCTCTGAGGGGCTGGTGCTGCCCCCTTGGGGGGGCGGTGAGGCTGGAGAGAGCTTTGTTCCTTGGGCTGTTCCTGGCAGCATGGGCAGCTCCTAGTGCCAAGGCTTTGCTGGGACCACCTTTCCCTGGGAGGGATGGGAGGGAGGTTGCGAGCAGGAGTGGAAGGTGCCAAGGAGGAGAGCAGATGTGTGCAATAAATAAATCAACATTATGGCTTCTCTTCCCTATCAGGTTTTCTGGAGGTTCTAGCATGAAGCTCGGCTAGCAGCAAAATGACCTTATGGGGGCAAGGTAAGCACACATGGGTTGTTGGTTCCCTTGGGATGCTGGGTGGATGTTTCACATCTGTGCACACCAGCACTGGTGCCCTATTAATACTGTGTTGCCTTCACAAGCTGACAGGAAGTGGTGTAAGCCTTGTTCATGCTAATGGTCCATCAGCATGTGAATAGGGAAGGCTCTGTGCCTCTAGGACCTCTTGTCACTCCTCTGTCACTTCCCTGCTGGTTCCCATCCTCCCCCATGTTGTGGGTGCCAGCCTTGCTCTGATGTTGGTCAGTGATGGGGTCCCTGGCTGTGGGTCACAGCCCCTCCCTGTCCTGTGGTGTCAGAGCTGCACTCAGGGGCTTCAGCCTCGTGTTGGCTGCTGGCACATTGGTTTCTGCTCCAGTGCCTGCCATGATGTGCCAGAGAAGCCCCTGAGAGCTCCCTAATTCCTGCTGGAGTGGGAAGCTCTCAGAGCCATCTTGGGCATCTGAATGACTGTTGTCTCTGGAAGGGTTGTCTTTGATCAGACAGCTATGCGCCTAATTATGCCATGATTCCACCACAGTGTCTGCTCTGGAGGAAATGACCCATCCCTCTTCCCTCACAGACTAATGAGCCCCATACATTTTAGGAAATTCTTAGCAGAGATCTGCACAAAGAGTTGAGAACCAGCTGGGCTGTTTGCGGTTGCTCCCAGCCCACTGCCAGACACGCTCGTGGGTATTGTTCAGCCTGCCTGGCACACCAGGGTGATTCCACTGGAGAAGTTTGTTCCATTCCAGCCCTCCCAGGGCCTGTGGCTGCCATGCAGGAGCAGAGGCAGAGTCCCAGAGTACAACAGTGGTGAGAAGCCATGCTCCTGTGGGCAGCTTCCTTTCCTACTGCTTCAGATTGAGAGCTTCCCCACACTGGTGGTGTTGGGTGGGAGTGGTGGGGGCTGTGTCCCTGCCCACCAGACAGGCAGGACAGTCCCCAGGGACACAGAATCATTTAGGTTGCAAAAGACCTTCAGGATCATTAAGTCCAACATGTAACCCATCACCACTTTGTCAACCAGACCAGAGCACTGAGTGCCACGTCCAGTCGTTCCTTGAATACGTGCAGCGATGGGGACTCCACCCTGAGCAGCCCATTCCAGTGCTTGACCACCCTTTCCATAATGAAATTTCTCCTCCTGTCCAACCTGAACCTCCCCTGGCACAGCTTGAGGCCACGTCCTGCTTGTGGTGCTGGTACTGCAGCCCCGAGCACTCAACATGAGCACATGAGCAAGTCCCTTTTTTTCCTTCTGCGGCTCAGATGAAGCTGCTGGAGCATCTCGGTGGGAACTGCTCCCTGTCAGCTGTTTTTTGGGAGAACAGAGTACTTCTGTGCTCCAGTCTCCTTTCACACTGCAGCCTTTCCTGCTAATTAGCCTGTCTTGGTCTGCATCACCCTAATTATTCCGGTTGGCCCTAAATCCTGCAGTCTACTGCCATCCTTTGAAATGGGTCTTGTGGCATTTGCAATTATTTTGGGGTGAACATTTGAATATATTTACATGACTGAAACAGATTAAGATAGCAGGAAGGAGCAACACTTTGTCTTGTTAATGGCTCTGACTCTGCTTGGTGCTGCAAAAATACCAGAGCTGTTGGGTATCCCTCTGATCTACATCCCAAGAAAGCCACATACTCTTGACTTTTATCTGAGACCTGGGGATGCAGTTGAGACTGTTTAACCTGGATATGTCACTGAGCAGCTGGCCAAGATGGACTGGGGAGTAAAGAGCCACAAAAATAGCTTTGGTGGTGATGTTACTGTGCTGCTGGGCTGGGGAAATGTGTCCCTGTGCTGGAGAAGGACATCCCTGGGCTGGCGTAGGGGCTCTGCCCAGGCAGAAGTGGATAAAAACTGAGTGGGCGGATGGGAACAGTGGAGTGGGATGTCAGGGGCTGGAAGTGGGGAGCAGAGCAAGTCCCCGAGTGCTTGGAAGGGAGGGCAGGGGCAAGGAGGCTGCCAGGCTCTGAGCTCTCTCCCGCCTGCTCCCTGCTCTGCACAGGCCGCTGCGCAATGTGCTCCTCTGGGGAGAGAGTCGACTCCCCAAAGAGAGAAATGCTTTTCTGGAGCAGTTCTTTGGCCTGTCAGCAAAACAGAATGCACGGACGGCCCGTTCCTTCCACTCCATTCAGCTCCCGCCCCAGCCACATAATCACAAAGAACTGGAAATCCCGGGGTGAGCCCAGGGGAGGATTGCAAAACCTGCACTCGCAACTGGGGCGGATGGGGGGAGGGAGTGGGAAGCGGTGCCAGCCTTCCCGGGAGTCCCTCTGGGCATGCAGCAGAGCTGGGCAGCAGAGCTGGGCACTCGCAGAGGCTGCAGCCTTCCTGCTGGATGTCCTACCGAGCCCTGGAAAACTCAAAGAATCTTCGTGCCAGATGAAGTTTCAAGGATTTCTCCGTCAGGTCAGTCTCTTGAGGCAGGGCAGGGTGTTGAACACTATGTGAGGCTGTTCACTGTCAGATGGTTGAGTTTCTCAGTGTTTCATTCTAACGGCTTCTCCTGACTCAGGCACTTAAAATTTGCATGAGAGGCGTTTGTTTTTCTCTTATTTCAGTTTCCCCCTCCCTTTTGACCGCAGGGTTAAACTAAAGAAATTGTAGGAAGGAGGCAGGTGGCTGAGATGTGAGCAGTGGTGGAGTGCTGACTCGGATTTGGGAGGAATAACTTCAGGGAGGGTTTGGGCTTCATCTGGGATGGGACAGGCTCTCTGTGAAGCTTTTCTTTAAGGACTCAGTGGGTATACATGGCCCCTCCCCTCCAAAACATTCCTGGAGCTTTGCTCCAGCTGTAAACCTGTGTTTCTGGGAACACAAACAGTACAGAAATTGTCTCTTTGGGTGTGCACTGACACAGACTTTAATTACCTGCCAGGTGGAAGGCACGGAGCCTGGGAGTTGCTGATAAGTGAAGGAGGTGATGAAATCCTGGATGGTGTCAGCATCCCGCTGGAGCCAGGCTGGATGCTTGACTGGAGTGTGGGTCCTGTTCCTCTGACCATGCCGTTTCTCTTGCAGATGCCCGTGGGGTTGGACACTCGCTAGCTGAGAGCTGAAGTCCCCAGCCTGTGCCCAGGAGAGCAGGATGCGGGTCACCATGCGGAGGGTGCTGCTGGTGCTGGGCTCGGTGGCCGCCCTGATGGTGACTCTGCACCTCGCCCATCAGGTTCTGGAGTGCCAGCAGGTCCTGAGCGAGAGGAGGCACAGGCTGATGAGACCCGAGAACGAGGAGCTGGTCATGATGGACGCCAACCACGTCGAGTACCGTTACAGCAAGGACATGCCCCTGATCTTCATCGGGGGGGTCCCACGCAGCGGCACCACGCTCATGAGGGCCATGCTGGACGCCCACCCCGAGGTGCGCTGCGGGGAGGAGACCCGCATCATCCCCCGTGTGCTGGCCATGCGCCAGGCCTGGTCCAAGTCCGGGAGGGAGAAGATGCGCCTGGACGAGGCGGGGGTGACGGACCAAGTCCTGGATGCCGCCATGCAGGCCTTCATCCTGGAAGTGATTGCCAAGCACGGCGAGCCCGCCAGGTACTTGTGCAACAAGGACCCCTTCACGCTCAAGTCCTCTGTGTACCTGTCCAGGCTGTTCCCCAATTCCAAATTCCTCCTGATGGTGCGGGACGGCCGTGCCTCAGTGCACTCCATGATCACGCGGAAAGTGACCATCGCGGGCTTCGACCTGAACAGCTACCGGGACTGCCTGACCAAGTGGAACAAAGCCATCGAGGTGATGTACTCCCAGTGCCTGGAGGTCGGCCGGGCCCGCTGCCTGCCCGTCTACTACGAGCAGCTGGTGCTGCACCCCGAGCAATCCATGCACAACATCATGAAGTTCCTGGACATCTCCTGGAGCGACACGGTGCTGCACCATGAGGAGCTCATCGGGAAGCCCGGCGGGGTGTCACTTTCCAAGTGAGTCTCAGCTCCTTCCTCAGCTTTTCAAGGAGCATTTTCATGATGTGAATCAGGTTAAGACTAAAACTGGGGGCAAAGTTGTGTTACTGGTGTTTGTGTGTGATTTTTGGGGGCAGAAGGGGCAACAAATCAGTCGTACTGCAATAGGGTTTGTGTTTCTGAGTAAGAGATGGCTTTAATGCGCCCAATCTGTTGTACTACACAGAGCAGCTTGTCAAGCAAGGATTTCAGGAGCAGGTGACTGTTTAATCTCTCTTGACACTGCAGAAATTATTTCAGTCTCTAATTTGCAAAGAACTGCTTGCTCTGAAACGTGAGCTCTTTAATGCCTCTTTCTCTACCCGTCCTCAGATGCCTCCTCAGTGCAATTAGTTGTGCTGCTAGTGATGATGAGCAGCAGTTCTTGCCAGGTCTGGGGCTGGTATTGCAGAATCAAAGCAATCCCTGCTCCGTGGAGGCACACCCAGCACTCCCTCCTGGTCTCTCCGTATGCCGGGGGTGTTTACCTTCTCCCACTTTCTTTTCCTCTTTTAATGCTTTTTCTTTTCTAAGTGCAAGGCTTAAGTCAGGCTTAGCAAAATGTAATCAGCCATGTAAGGGAATTATCCAAGTCTCCGTATCAATTGCTGGTGCCCCGGTGGTGAGGGCAGCGGGAGCCAGGGGGATGTGCAGCTGCTCCGGTGCTCTGGGATGCCGTGGGTGTGCAGCCGGCTCTGCTTCCCTGTATGCTCTGCGGAAATTTTGCCCAGGTTCCTTAAACAGATAAGATTTTGGATTTTCATAGAGGCCCTGTGGTGCATCTGTGCTGCAGCCCACACGTCTTACATTGTTTTCCTGTAGTAAGGAGAGGTGTCCTGGTAACACCCCGACCCTGGTGCAGGATCAATTTCCCCTCTAGGACTAGAGGAAACACCTCAAGTTGTGCTGGGGGAGGTTTAGATTGGATCTTTGTGAAAATTTCTTCATGAACAGAGTGGTCCAGGCGTTGGAGCAGGTTGCCCAGGGCAGTGGTGGAGTCACCATTGCTGGAAGCATTCAAAGACATGTGGATGTGGGGCATGGTTAGCGGTGGCCTTGGCAGTGATGGTGGAACAGTTGGAACTGATGATCTTAGAGGGCTTTTCCAGTCTTAATGATTTCATGATTCTATACAGGGGGATCCCACCTCTGGAGCTGTGCAACGCTCTGCCAGGGTGTGCTCCCCCAGAGCAGGTCTGTGAGGGGACAGGGTTGCCCTGGGACTGCCCCTCTCTGCCCCAGGTGTGCCTGGCAGGTGATGAGTGTTTGTGTTCAGGGATTGGAGGTGACATGTTGGGGCTGTTCAGCCTGGAGAGGAGAAGGTTGTGTGGAGACCTCATAGCACCTTCCAGGATCTGGAGGGAAGCCAGAGAGGGACTGTTCATCAGGAACTGTAGTGACAGGACAAGGGCGAATGGCTTCAAACTGAAATGGGGGAAATTTAAGTCAGATATATGGAAGAAATTTTTCCCTGTGAGGGTGGTGAGGCCCTGGCACATGGTGGCCAGAGAAACTTTGGCTGCCCCATCCCTGGAAGTGTTCCAGGCCAGGTTGGACAGGGCTTGGAGCAACCTGGTCTAGCGGAAGGTGTCCCTGCCCATGGTAGAGGGTGGGATAGGATGAACTTTAAGGTCCCTTGCTACCCAAACCAGTCTGTGATTCGATGTTGAGGTGGCAGTGAGCCTGGCTGAGGCTGTTCTGTGTGAACCCAGCACTTGAGTGAAATCCAACTTTAGTGTCTTTTGTTTGGTTTTTTTTTTCTTTTTTTTCCCCAGGATAGAAAGATCCACAGACCAGGTGATCAAGCCGGTGAACATGGAGGCGTTATCTAAATGGATTGGGCACATCCCGGGGGATGTGCTGCAGGACATGGCCCACATCGCCCCGATGCTCGCCAGGCTGGGCTACGACCCCTACGCCAACCCCCCCAACTACGGCCATCCCGACCCCCTGGTTGTCAACAACACGCACAGGGTGAGTGTCACTGCCATGGGGAGCAGAGCCGGGGGCTCACAGAGCCCTCTGGAGCAGAGGAGGCTGCTGAGCCAGGTCAGGAAAGAGCAGGGGGGAAACAGACATAGAATCCCAGAATCACTGAGGCTGGAAAAGACCTCCAAGATCATCGAGTCCAACCTGTGCCTGATCCCCACCTTGTCACCCAGCCCAAAGCACTTGAGTGCCACATGGACACCTCCAGGGATGGGGACTCCACCACTTCTCTGGGCAGCTCCTTTTAATGCCTGACAACCTTTTCTGTGAAAACATTCCTCCTTATGTCCAGCCTGAACCTCTCCTGGCACAGCTTGAGGCCATTTCCTCTTGTCCTGTCCCTTGTTCCCTGGGAGCAGAGCCTGACGCCCACCCCTGCTGGCTCTCCCCTCCTGTCAGGGACTTGCAGAGAGTGAGAAGGTTACCCCTGATCCTCCTTTTCTCCAGGCTGAACCCCCCCAGCTCCCTCAGCCGCTCCTGATGCTCCATACTCTTTCCCAGCTCCATTCCCTTCTCTGGGCATGCTCCAGCACCTCATTGTCTGTCTTGGAGTGAGGGGTCCAGACCAGGACACAAGATCTGAGGTGCAGTTTTCTCCCTGGGGAGGCTGGGAATGGCTGACAGTTCCCCGAGGTGGTTCCAGCCCAGCTGTGTGTTCCAGATGGAGCCTGGCGGGGCTCACACCGACGGTGCTGCCGATGGTTTTGTGGTGGTGTTTGTTTGTGGTGCTGTGGCAGATCCTGACTTGTCCCTGCCTGACCCAGCCCCACTCCTGAACCCCAGCGTGGGCATTCCTGGTGTGTGCTGATGATTTCTTTGGGCACTGTACCCTGGCTGGGACCTGGGACAACATTCCAGCTGTGCTGTGTCTGTGTGTAGCTCCACAGCCGCTCCCATGCTCCCACCAGGAACACACGTGGAGGCTTGGAATGCCTTTGGGCAAAACCAACAGATTTTTTCCTTTTTTTTTGAATATTGACTCATGGCCCTGGAGCAGAACTGGAGGGAAGGAGCTGCAGTCCCAGCCAGCAGTTAGGAAGCAGAAGGAGGTTCCCATATTTGGGGTGGGGCTCTACAGTCCCCTGTTTCTCTGGGACAGTGCCCATGGATGAGGTGTCCTTTGTCATGGTGGTGGGAGCAGGGTGGGACCAGTCCCCAGGGTGCTGTAGGCAGGCAGGGAAGTAGCAGCACTGACTGGGAGCAGGGAAGAGCTTTCCTGGAACTGCTCTGTGCTCCCAGCACTCTGGTCTCTCACAGCTCCTTAGTGCCTGCTGAGAGCTCCTGGGACACAGGGGGAACTGCCCTGGGCAGGGTCAGGGACACTCTGGGTCTCTGATATGGACCTTTCAGTGTTTTTTGGATGAATTTGGAGAACTGGTATGGTGGTAAAACCAAAACATTGCCCACTCGCAGACTAAGGGGGGAATTGGGAATTGCTTGTGTTGGTTTCCTGCTCCATGTCTTTATAGTCAAAAATGATGAAACCTCCCATTTTTGCCCCAGTATGGCCCCATGATGTAGATCAAACCCCCATCAGGGTGTTCCACCTGGTTCAGGTGTCCTGAGGTGTGGGACACACGGAATGGGGTGGACTGGCTGATGCTCATGGAGCCACTGCCCCAGAAGGGTCACTCCAGGTTCTCTTTCCCACAGGTTTTAAAGGGGGATTATAAAACACCGGCCAATCTGAAAGGTCACCTGCAGGTAAGAGTCTGGTGTGCCCTGGGGGTTGTGTTTTTGGGTTAATCTGGGGTGTCAGGTCCCTGGCTTCCTCCTAGGGGTGTCTGCAGGCTGGAAATGTCCCTGCTCCCTTCCCTCAGGGAATGTCTCTGCTCCCTGTCCTGGGGATTGCAGATGGTGGCTCAGAGCTGACCCTTCTGTTTCTGGGTTATTTCAGGTCACTCAGAACACGTCATCCTCTCACTAAGAAAATTAATGATTTCCAGGTAAGACCCTGTTAATTTTGGGATTTGGGCAAATCTGCCCACGCTGCTCCAGGATTGGCATTTGGTTTGTGTAATTTCTGTGGATTAGCTGGGGCTCCAGGCACGCTCCTGATGCCAAGGATCATTCACAGTTGCCTTAGATCTTCTGAACAATGCTGCTGTCTGGGACCATTTGTCAGGATTTCTCTTCCTGAGCTCTGGGAACAGGCTTAAAGCAGCCAAATGAGAATCAGCCACTTGGGAGGGTCATTGCTGCCTGTCCCCCACAGGCAGCACAGGGACGGGATGTGGAATGTGTGGATGGGCTGAGCTGCTCCCCAGCTGCCTCCAAGGACGTGCCATGGACCTGAGGAAGGGGATAGAAAACAAAGGAAAACATGATGGGAAACAAAGCCGCTGCCTTGGGCCTCTGCTCCAGAGACAACTGTTGACGTGTTGGATGTTTTTCCCTCTCTACCCTCTGCGCTCAAGCATGAAATGTCATTTTTGGTACTAAAACTGACCCTTTGAAATCTAATCCCTATGTAAAAGCAGTCACTTGGGCTAGAAAAAGATCAGAAGCGCTGAGGGAGGATCAGGAATTGTGTGTCCGATGTCCTGGGCTGGGATTTGGTTCCTTGCTGGCTGTGTTTTGTGTCACAGGGACTTTAAACCATCCGTTGGTCACCGCTGTGCTGATGTGTGGGATCCTGCTCCTGAGGGGATCCTGTTCCCGAGGAGATCCTGCCCCCAAGGGGATCCTGCCCTCTGTTCTCCCTGTGTTTCTCTCTTCCAGAACGTTGCAAATGGCCTTTTGTTGCCCAAGAAGGAAGAGTTTGCACTGGCCCGTGGAAATCGGTTCTCCAAGCATATTGCTTGCTCCTACTGTTGCCAAATGACTGCGCTCCAGGAATGTATTTGCATTTATTTGCAAAGGCCAAACATGCTCCACGGCGGGAACGTCCTCGGCCTCTCCCAGCGCTCCGTGGGGAAAGCAGCTGTGGGAATCCAGGCTTGGGGACGGCGGGAGGACGTTCCATGTGTGCCGTGGCCAGAGGACTCGTCACATCTCGTGTCAGTGTCTTGTGATGCCGTTCCCTGTTCCTGGGAACAGCGCTCCCAGCACTGCTGTTCTGTATTCCTGGGGTCAGGAACAGCCACCCTGGTCCTGCTGTTCTGTATTCCTTGGATTGGGAACAGCCACCCTGGGCCTGCTGTTCCCTATTCCCAAGGTGAGGAACAGCCCTCCTGGCCCTGCTGTTCTGTATTCCTGGGCTTGGGAACGGCTATCTTGGCCTCGCTGTTCCCTAATTCCAGGGTTGTGAACAGTCATCCTGGGCCTGCTGTTCCTTATTCCCACGGTTGGGATCAGCCATCCTGGTCCTGCCATTCCCTGTTCCCAGGGTCAGGAACAGCCGCCCTGTCCCTGCTGTTCCCAATTCCCGGGGTCAGGAATAGCCCCCTGGCCCCGCAGAGCCTTTGTGGTGCGCGTGCCCCCCTCCTCACACCCCTTCCCTGACCCTGCAGAGGCTATTGCAGAGTTAATATATGGCCCCCGTCCCCCCCGGTGTCGGACACCATTAAAGTGTTGGTTTGATATTTAATATTTAACGTTTCAATATTTAATATTTAACGGGGCGGGCTCCGCCTCCCCCCGCACACTCACACACACAGACACAAACTCCACCGGGCCGTGGAGCGGCGCTGCCGGCGCGGCCGCTCCGCCTCCTGCCACTCTATGGTTCGTGGGCGGGGTTTGAGCGTAAACGGAAGTGAACCGGGAGCGAACGGGGCTCGTCCGGTTGAGCGGAGCCAGTTCGGGGTGTCCGGGGATCCCTGAGCGGTCCCGGAGGAGCCGGGGTGTCTGTCTGGGGATCCCTGAGCGGTCCCGGGGGAGTTGGGGTGTCTGTCCGGGAATCCCTGAGCGATCCCGGAGTGGCCGCGGGCCCCGGCGCTGCCGCTATGTCGATGTCTCACCTGTACGGCACGGACGGCGACGATGGCGTGGAGATGGAGAGTTTCGAGGTGTCGGACTGGGACCTGCAGAACGAGTTCAACCCGCACCGGCAGCGGCACCGCCAGACCAAGGAGGAGGCGACCTACGGCGTGTGGGCCGAGCGCGACTCGGACGAGGAGCGGCCGAGCTTCGGCGGGAAGCGGTACGGGCGGGAGCGGGGCCGGGCCGGGCTGTGCCGTCCCTGGGGCTGCCCCGAGCCGGGCAGCTCCCCTCGTGTCCTCCAGGTTTCTCCTTCCCGGGGAGCCACCCCTGTTCCTTTTGGGTTCCTCCCGTTCGCTGGATGTTCACCCCTTCCCTAGAGCTTTCTCCTTCCCGTGAAGATTCTCCCGTTCCCTGGGGGTACCCCTGCTGCTGACACCCCCCCGAGCAGCCCAGCCTGGCCCGGTGCTGCCCTCGGGACCCCTCACCCGTGGGAATTTCCCTTTGCTCCCCGCCCCTGCAGCCCGGGGGGATGGAGGGGGATTTCCTGGCACAAACAGCTGGACCATCTTTAATATCTCAATTTTGGCGGGTGTAAGGCACAGCAGCCCCCCAGGCTCCCCCAGGAAGGTGCCCTGGAGCAGCATTCCCTGACAGGTGTGTTTCTCAGCTCCAGGGATTACTCTGCCCCCGTGAGCTTTGTCAGCGCCGGGCTCAGGAAGGCAGCGGCCGAGGAACAGTCAGACGAGGACTCAGATGAGGATGAGAAACCTGGGAAGCAGGAGGAGATCCCCAAGGAGTTCGTGCCCAAGAAGTTAAAAACAGTGAGCTCTCCAGGAAACTTTCTGTCCTGTGTAACTAATGTGTTTGTGAAACTGTAGCCAAAGCAGTGAAACTACAACAGAGCACTAAAAAGGGGGGGATATAATGAAACCAGAAACCCAAATGTGCCATTAAGGGAGGTGTTTTCTCTGGCTTTTATATCACTGATAAAATAACAACTCTAATAATAAATCATTGGTACAACTGTACATTGATCTAATGATGTATTACTGCGTGTCCTTAGGAATCACTCCTTTCATTGTCCTTAATATTCCCTTTGGTCAATGGAGGTTTAAGGAGAAAAACTTCCATGGTTTGCTGCCTTTTGGAAACCTATTTCTTTAATCTCAAAGAACAGACAAATCCAGGAATGTCATAGATTAAAAATCAAAGTCTTATTTTCAGTTAATAACAGAAAAAATCAGGAATCGGCTTCAGCTAAAGCTGGTGGTGGAGCAAGAGAACTGTCAGGTTGTCAGTCTGAGCTTGTCAGGATGTTTCTCTTCCATCTGAGGAGTTTCAGAAAGCTCCTTAGGTGTCAGGCAGCTTTCCTGGATGCATAAGTGAGGTCCCAGTGAGCTGGGCACTGTGGGGTCAAGGGAATCACTTCTGGGAAGAGCCTTTGGAGGAAAATTCTACACAACTTGGTTATTGCAATGCTTCAAGGTGGTGGGGTTTGTGTTGTGTTTTAACAGGGAGGAAATTTCAAGCCCAGCCAGAAAGGCTTTGTCGGGGGCACCAAATCTTTCATGGATTTTGGCAGCTGGGAGAGACACACTAAGGGAATCGGGCAGAAGCTTCTCCAGAAGATGGGATATGTCCCTGGAAGAGGTCTTGGGAAGAATGCTCAAGGTACTGTCAGTGTGTTTGGTTGTTTATTGTTAAGTGGTGATGTGGAGAAGAGATTGCATTCCTTAAAGAAATGCCAGCCCAAGGTGCTGTTCTGGTAACTGGTAGGGAAAGCCTGGCTGTTGTGCTCTCCCAGCACACAAACTACTCCTCCTAACCCCTCTCTGTCCTCCCAGGTATCATCAATCCCATCGAGGCCAAGCAGAGGAAAGGCAAAGGTGCCGTGGGGGCCTATGGCTCTGAGAGGACCACCCAGTCCCTGCAGGACTTCCCTGTGGTGGACTCAGAAGAGGAAGCTGAGGAGGTATTGGTGTGATTCTTCTGTATCTGTTTCCCTGCTGCACAAAACTCAGTTCTCTCATTAGTTTCTGTGTCAGAGAAAACTGGGCTCATTTTAGTTAAGAAGGCAAAGACTGAGCACATTGATTTAATTTAGACAGATTTTTCTTGTCACTGTAATGTTCTCAGTTGGTTTTGGCTCAGAATCCCACCTTCAAAAAGTCCCCCCAGGTAAATAGTCTTTCCCTTTATTTAAATTTAAAAAAAGAGACCACAAACACCCTATAAGAACAGGTCATAGAGTGGGAGACTGACCCACAGCATCTGTGGTGCTTTGGCACTCAGCTTCACCACTTCCCTGTTATTTTTCTGTACAGAATTCCTCATTGATCTGATGGTTATTGTCCTGTAGAAAGAGGCAGATTTGGGGTGTGGCAAAGAGCATCTCCCACAGCTTCCTGTTGTTTTGTTCAGGAATTTCAGAAGGAGCTCAGTCAGTGGCGGAAGGACCCAAACGGAGGCAAGAAGAAGCCCAAGTACAGCTATAAGACAGTGGAAGAGCTGAAAGCCAAGGGCAGGATTAACAAGCAGCTTGCAGCCCCTCAGAAGGAGCTGTCCCAGGTCAAGGTAAGGTTGATACCTGAGAGGTGAAACCTCTGAGGAACAGTTTGTCCACTTTGGTGTCATGGGTGCGTTTTAGCCACCAGTAACCTTGGTAAAGCCAGTTCTAGGAACTGCCTATGCAGCCTTTTGGACTCATCACTGAACCATGTAATTAACCCCCCCATGTCACCTGGACATGGGGTTTGTTTTAAAACACGCAAATTAGATTAAATGTGGGTGGGTTTGGTTTTTTGAATTGCAGGTTATTTAATTGTTTCACATTGGTCACAGATCAGTGCTCACCCGCTTCTGAAAGCACAGCTGTCCTTTTTGGGATTATGCAACTAAACACATGGTTTGAACCTTCTTCTACTTCAGAGGGACCTGTTTGTCCTTGTCTGTTGGCAGGTTATAGACATGACGGGCCGGGAGCAGAAGGTTTATTACAGCTACAGCCAGATCAGCCACAAGCACAACATCCCAGATGACAGCCCCCAGCAGCCCCTGGGCAAGGACTCCAAGCCCCAGGGGTTCGCCCTGCCCGAGCTGGAGCACAACCTGCAGCTGCTGATTGACATCACGGAGCAGGAGATCATCCAGAACGACCGGCAGCTGCAGTACGAGAGGGACATGGTGGTCAACCTGAGCCACGAGATCCAGAAGATGTCCGAGGTGCTCTCACACGAGGAGAAGGCCATCAGCAACCTCAGCAAGGTGCTGGACATGGTGGAGGAGTGTGAGAGGCGGATGCAGCCCGGCTGTGAAAACCCTCTGACCTTGGATGATTGTGCAAAGATTTTTGAGACGCTTCAGGACAAGTACTACGAGGAGTACAGGATGTCAGACAGGGTGGACCTGGCAGTGGCCATAGTTTATCCTCTCATGAAGGATTATTTCAAGAACTGGGATCCCCTCAAGGTGTGTGTTGGGTTATCTGCGGCTCTCACTTGATGGTGTCAAGAGCCTTTGCTACCTTGTCCTAAGTGTCCTGGTCTAGTGGGAGGTGTCCCTGCCCATGGTAGAAGAGTGGAAGGAGGTGAGCTTTAAAGTCCTTTCCAACCCAAACCAGTCTGGGATTCTGGGATTCTAAATTCCTGATCAGTCTGGAGAGAAAGAAAAGAAACAAAACCAAACCCTGCTCTGTGCCCCCTCTCAGACATTTGCTGAGGAGTTTGTAAGGTTAAAATCAGTCCCTTTTATGAGTGTTGGGAAGAAAAAGTAGGTGAAAAACAAATCTCTAGTTGTTTTTTTTTTTAGCAAAAGTAGGAGAGATCTGTCTGTCAGTCTAGTCTAGCCTCACTGCCATTTAGGCTGGGATAGGTAAGATAGGCTGGCCCTGTGAGGGGGTGACAATGGTGGCTGTAGCCCAGCACACCATCAGCCTGCTCTGTGCAGATCCCAGCAGAAATTAATGGAAAAGGATAAAGACCTTGACCCTGAGTGCTTTATCATTCCCCAGGACTGTTCCTATGGCACAGAGATCATAGCCAAGTGGAAGAGCCTTCTGGAAAATGACCAGCTGTTATCCCACAGTGGGCAAGATCTGTCAACGGATGCTTTCCACAGGTAAAGAGCAAATGAATTGTACTTTGTGCAGTATCTTCATGTGCTGCTTCCTCAGGGATGGAAAAGAGCAGACACAAGGGATCTTTCCTGATGATTCCCTTGCTCTACCTGTTAAAATCCAGCTGCCAGCTACAGAAGAGAAGCAGCTTTAACTAACAAAGTTCACATTTGTTTTATTTAGGCCTGGGTTGTAGCTTTGAGCTTGACTTTGATTTAATTGGGTGGGTATTTTTTGCCAGACTGATGTGGGAGATCTGGATGCCATATGTCAGAAACATCGTGGCACGGTGGCAGCCAAGGAACTGTGGATCCATGGTGGATTTCTTGGATAGCTGGGTAAACGTTGTTCCTGTGTGGATACTGGATAATATTCTGGATCAGCTCATCTTCCCCAAGTTACAAAAGGAGGTGAGTGGAGGTGAGAGGGCTGGGCAGAGCAAAGCCATGCTCTGAACCAGTGTTTGACTTTCAGCTGGAACAGCCAAAACACCAGTTGGCTGATGGATGGAGGAGTTGGAGGTTCCATCACGGCTCCTTGTGCTTCTGGAC